GGAAGATGATACAAATTACTATCTGTATGGTATTAAAGTTTTTTCCTGTACAGTACTGCCCATATAAGTACTAAAGGAGCCATAATATTCACTGTATGCAATAATAGTTGTGTTGTTACTTAAATGGAAAGACATTTACATGGTGTTGTGTGAATTGGACAGGATATGGTGGTGGGTGGGTCAGAGACAACCCACAACACAGTTGAGTTTGCCATGGCTGAAATGATGAACAAACCACAAGTACTGCAAGAAGTCCAGCAAGAACTGGACAGAGTCATTGGCAAAGACAAAATTGTGGAAGAGTCTCATATTCACAAACTACCATACTTATATGCAGTGATGAAAGAGGTTCTACGCTTGCACCCAGCCCTCCCACTCTTGGTGCCTCACTGCCCCAGCGAGACGTGAATATTTGGAGGTTACACAATTCCTCAAGGTGCTCGTGTTTTCGTTAATGTCTGGGCGATACACAGGGACCCTTCGATTTGGAAGAACTCGTTGGAGTTTAACCCAGAGAGGTTTTTGAATGGTGAATGGGATTACAGTTTAAATGACTTCAATTATTTCCCATTTGGGTCTGGCAGGAGAATTTGTGCATGGACTGCAATGGCTGAGAGAATGTTCTTGTTTTCACTTGCTTTACTTTTACACTCTTTTGACTGGAAACTGCCTCAAGGGGAGAAATTAGACTTGGAGGAGAAATTTGGGATTGTGTTAAAGAAGAAGATACCTCTTGTTGCTATCCCAACGCCAAGATTATCCGATCCATCACTCTATGAGTAATTTAGTTCACATGGAATGAGTCTAGTGAAGCAAAGACAATTGCGTTTGCTACAAGTTGTAGGTTCTATGTTTCAAGTGGCAATTCAATATAGTGATAGACTCTTATAGTACTCGATCAAATATTTATCAAGTCCTTTACTGAAATCCTTTTTCACATGTAAGTCTTCGAGTATGTATTTTCATATGAATTGTTAGCAATGAATACTGAAGATTTGAGTTGTTGCAAGACATTTTAATGTATCATAAGTTATAACTTCACATCTCTTAGTTTGAGTTTGGATTGCTCTCTCCTTGCTGTTTGCCCTCTGTTTTCTGTGCATGTCTTCGGGTAGTTCTATCAGAGGGTTTTGTTTTTGTGTTGTTTTTGCTGGTTTTGGTCTGGGTCCAGGTTGGCTGGGCCTGGCTTGTCCGGGTTGTTGAGCCAGTTTGTCTGGGCTTGTCCTTTTTTTTTTTCATAGTTGATGCTCACACACATATGTTTTTATGGAGGCTTGAACTTTTGATTTTCCTTTGGAAAGTAAAAACCTGACACCGCTAGGCCACTGGTCCGTTCGTGCTTGTATAATTTCTAGCGAAGGTTATGATTTTCCTTCGTCGCCATAGAATAAAGACCCAATTGTCCATATTATCTAGGACTCCTTTTTGTTGCATGTAGTTGTTATAACGAATAAACCATATTGTCATCTAACTAGTGACGACCACAATGGAAATAAACTTTCCTCACAACATGAGTATTCCCATTGATGAGGATAAAAATAATAGGCAACTCAAAGTCAAAATAAGATAAGGGTAATGGATTTATCGTCCCCAAAATCTCTATGGAATTATAAAAAATCTTTGGTTACCATGTGTAACGACAGTTACCATTCCTGTAAGAAGGAAACGATATCATCTTGGATCAGGGAGAATCTCGCGTTAACAACTACTACCATCAATGCTTCTATAAAAGAAATGATCAGTCAACCTAAAAAGATACGCCATAAATTTTATATGTAATCCTTATCGGATATTAGATTGTCAAGTACCGTCGGAGTGCACCCGGCCGGCACTACGCCGGTCATCACTTCTCTTGTTTTGCAGGAATCGCCACCTACTCCGGAGCGTGTAGATTTTTGGCATCAACAGTTGGCGCCGTCTATGGGAACGTATATTAGTCCCAACAAATCATGGTTCGTACAAGGGAAATCTACGACAAAACTTAAATGTAATTCAGTCCCTTTACAATCTGGCTTTCTCTAAAAGAAAGAGAACAGTTCATGGATTGCGTGGCCAAAAGCAAGGGTATAGTTGCTCAATCCGGTAAAATTGCTGGAAAGCCCCACCCGACCGCTTCATCATCGCTGTTAACTGGGTAAGTTTCATGCATTACGCGTATATCAAAATATATGTCTACACTTCCTCACATGATTTAAAGAGAAACAATTTTTTATGTGTTTCCAATTGTCTGCAAAATATTGTTCACCTACATAATGATGTAGTTCACCCGGGGACCCTTCGATAGAATACTACGCTTTGCGAGTATTGTTCCCAGGAAAATAAATAAAATAAAAAAAATTAAAATTGTGAGTACTGTTCACAGGGTTTTTTAAAAAAAAAAACAAAATTTTATTTGTGAGTACTATTCATGTGAATAGTACCCGCGGGGGTACTGTTCATAGGGTTTAAAAAAAAAATAAAAAATAAAAAATTTCTTATTCTAGAGAATAATCGCTAGCTCCATGGATGATTTTAGTCCTATGATGCTCAATGATAAGTTTTTGCCTTAATTGTACTAATTTATATATATATATATATATATATATATATATATATATATATATATTATCCGTTCAAACTGTACACATTAGTGTTCCTTGCATATGAGAGGCAAGCTTGGGAATGGGGGCAGAAAATTAACCTCTCTTATTAAAGATACGAGCTCACGAAACTCTGGAAAATCAGTCTTCCTTATCAAATAGATGAGCTCACGCAACTATCGAAAATTAGTCTCTCTTATTAAAAAGATGAGATAACGCTTTTGACATGTCATTTTGAGAAGAATCTCTCACACGTCACGAGATCTCTTTCACAAAGCAAACCTTCCCATGAATGGATCTCTGAATCGTTTTACATGTTGAGTTCGTCGATCCGCGACGAAACTCACGAAGATGAACCTCCCATATGAAAAGGATAGGTTCATGAAGCTTGGAGAACCTACTCCCTTTTTAAAGGGCGAGTTAAATGAAGCTCGTAGTTGCCATCCCCGTATTATAAGGGATTAATATAAAAGTGTCATGTATTATAAGGGCCCGAGCTGAATGAAGCTCGTAATTGTTGTCCTCCGTATTAAAAGGGGTCGAAATCAACTCGTAAAATATACCTCCCTTTTTAAAGGGCGAGTTGAGTGAGACTCGTAAAATATACTTCCTTTTTTAAAGGGCGAGCTGAGTGAAGTTCGTAAAATATATATTTCTTTTTAAGGGGCGAGCTGAGTAAAGCTCGTAAATATACTTTCCTTTTTTAAAAGGTAAGCTCATTCAGCTTAAGAAAGCCTACTCCCTCAGCTCATGAAGTTCGGGCAAATCTTAAGAGATCAAAAAAAAAAAAAAAAAAAAAAAGAGGTCACCTAACAAGGACTAACCTAAAAAGAGAATGATTTCTGCCAAAGAGATGTCGGTCAAAAAACACTTTCACATTCTCGATGCTTGACAAGCAAGTACGAGAATGGGGGACAACTGATGAGGATAAAAATAATAGGCAACTCAAAATCAAAATAAGATAAGGGTAAGGGATTTATCCTCTCCAAAATCTCTATGGAATTATAAAAAATCTTTGGTTACCATGCGTAACAACAGTTACCATTCCTGTAAGAAGGAAACGATATCATCTTGGATCAGGGAGAATCTTGCGTCAACAACTACTACCATCAATGCTTTTATAAAAGAAATGATCAGTCAATCTAAAAAGGTACGCCATAAATTTTATATGTAATCCTTATCGGATATTAGATCGTCAAGTACTAACTTGACCGTCGGAGTGCACCCGGCCGGCACTACTCCGGTCATCACTTCTCTTGTTTTGCAGGAATCGCCACCGACTCTGGAACGTGTAGATTTTTGACATCAACACCCATAATATATTCTTAATAAATTACGAGATATGCTTAGTAATTATGAGTATATGTGAATGGATTAATTTCCACGCGGATAAAAGAAACATGAAAGTTGTCTTTTTCAATAAATTTATTGTCTTAAAAAAAAAAAAAAGAATAAAAAAAAAGAAAGAAAGAAGAAGAAGTGTATATGATTTAACGGTGGAGAGAGTAATTCTCTTGAGAAATGGCAAAAAAAAATTATATATATATATATATAAAATTGGACATAGTAGTCTAAAGTATATTAGTATTTACAAATTATTATCTGGAGAATATATATATATACTATATAAAATTGGATAATAATTTGTAAATACTAATATACTTTAGACTACTATGTCCAATTTTATACAGTGTTAGACAATTCAAGATTGCTCTAGTATTTCAAAAGGGTCTTTCCTATAGAAGTCTAGAACGTCCCAATCTAAGCAGACTGCCCATGTCATCCATCTATATGACTGTGTAGCACCTACTTAACATTAGCCTCATAAAATTTCATTGCCCTGCTGACCTTTAAAACTTCAATCGCAACATCTTTACCGGAGATCTTGGTTTATTTATTTATTTATTCGGAAAGTAAAGAGATCTTGGTTTTTGATCAGTGAGAGCAAATTGCTCTGTTTTGAAATTTTAAACACTCCCTATTTTGCTCTCTGGTGACTTATGCCACTTCTAAAATTTTCTAACACATTTAACTTGTCGATCAATTTGTTATCATGCACTAATTAAATTTCCCTCTAAAATAATTATAGCAGTGCAATGAATTCCAATAGATGGCAAACTAAAGGCCAAGTGGGATTTATATCTGATCCATTCAACATATATTAGCTGAGGATTTAAAAGACAGTTGAATACACACCATCTATTATGTTATAATCAATCAAGAATATCCCATATTGTACCAAATTATTATTAGCAACCACTCGGAAGTTACTTGATCTACATCCTGATAGATAACCAAACACATCTCAATTTGGCCCACGCGTGGAGCGAATTGTCTCACGGAAGGCTTCACAGCCTTTGGTTTCATGAGATACCCTATCTTCAATTATTAGTACTAGAACATATATGGTACACTGCCTGCCACGAAAACCACCTTAAAGTCTAGCCTCTCGCTGTCCAGCAAAAGATCTATCGACGCTGCCACCACCACCCCCTAACTCTTCATATAGTTATTCAACTCTCTTAATTCCACCTGTATCTCCTTCAGTACAATCTCGATCGATCAAAATGATTCAAAAATTAAGCACCTTCTTATCTGATGCATGGTCATGGTGGTGGCAAAGCAACAACAGTCACGATGAGCTTGCCCGTGTAGTCCTCACGGGCCTGCTCATCGTACTTGCCGTGTTATGGTATTATTATTGGATCCCGTCTCTTTTTAAATCTAAAAATGAAACCCCGCCATTGCCACCAGGGCCATTGTCCCTGCCACTCCTCGGAAACCTCCCATTTCTTGATCCCGACCTACATACCTACTTTGCCAGCCTGGCTCGCTCCTATGGCTCCATCCTCACACTATGGCTCGGTAGAAAGGTTGCCATTGTGGTCAGCTCGCCTGCCATGGCACGTCAGGTGTTGAAAGACCAGGATGCCACCTTTGCCAACCGCGATGTCACGGTGGCTGCCAAGGCCGCCATGTGCGGTGGCTCTGACGTTGTTTGGACTCAGTATGGGCCAGAGTGGCGCATGCTGAGGAAGGTGTGTGTCCGTGGGATGCTAAGCAATGCCATTCTTGACTCTGTCTATGCGCTACGAAGGAGGGAGATCCGGCAAGCAATCGTGTACTTCTACAGTCGGGTCGGGTCACCGGTCAACTTCGGTGAGCAGATGTTTCTCACATCGCTCAACGTCATTACAAGCATGTTATGGGGTGGCACCGTGAAGGGAGAGGAGAGGGCCAGCCTCGGGGCGGAGTTCAAGCAAGTGGCGGCGGAGATTACGTGTCTGATGGGGAAGCCCAACTTGTCCGATTTTTATCCGGGTTTGGCCCGGTTTGACTTGCAGGGGATTGAGAAGCAAATGAATGGATTGGTAGTGCGGTTTGATCGGATGTTCGATATCATGATTGATCAACGCCTAAAAATGGACGGACAAGGTGGGACCAAAGACTTCTTGCAGTTCTTGTTGCAGCTGAAAGACGAAGGAGATGCCAAAACGCCTCTCACCATGACTCATCTCAAAGCCTTACTAATGGTATATGTGTCCACTTTATTTATATCTAAATTCATATGTTATAATTAGGGGCAGAGACGGGATTTGAAAGCGCAGAGGGTTAAAGAAAAAATTCAAATGGAAAATAAAAATATTTTAAACAGAGAAAGTGATTTATTGAAAAAAAAATTTATTTGTTTTTATGAGAAATCCAAATATAAAAAAAACTCAGATCCAACAACATGATTCAACATAAAACAATCAAAATTTAACCTAAAGTAAATAAACCAATATCCAAAATTTTTAGACAATAATAAAAAAAAAAAAAAAAATCCCAATTATCAAATATCATTCTAAACAGAATGTTGAAGTTATTTTTATTTTTAATTTTTTAAAAAATCTCCACTAAGATTAAAAAAGTGAAAAAAACATTGTTGAAGAAAAAAAAAAAAGGATTAAATACTGAAAAGAGATTTTTTTTTGGTAAATAAAAACTTAAAAAGGGTTTTTATTTTGCTTAAAATTAAGCTGAATAGTTTGGACTTCTTCATGGATTAACTTTGGTTTGCTAGGCTAGTGGGCTGGGCCATTTATTATGGATTGAAAACTTGGGCTGGACTATAGCTGATAAGACATAGTAATAATAATTTATTTATTTATTATTTTTTTTTTGGACCTGTGCTGCAACCTAGATTAGCCCATGAAAGGCTCCGCCCCTTGTTATAATTAACCAATGTCACATTATGCATGCCCATATTTTCATTTTATGCATGAATAGTTATATATATTTACTTAATTGGAAATACGTTTTGGACAGGATATGGTGTTGGGTGGGACAGACACAGTGTCCATCACAGTTGAGTTTGCCACGGCTGAAATGATGAACAAACCACAAGTAATGCAAAAAGTCCAGCAAGAACTGGACTCAGTAGTTGGCAAAAATAACATAGTGGAAGAGTCTCATATTCGCAAACTACCATACTTATATGCAGTGATGAAAGAGACTATGCGCTTGCACCCAGCCCTCCCACTCTTGGTGCCTCACTGCCCCATTCAGACTTGTGTAGTTGGAGGTTACACAATTCCTAAAGGTGCTCGTGTTTTCGTCAACGTGTGGGCGATACATAGGGACCCTTTGATTTGGGAAAACCCATTGGAGTTTGATCCAGAGAGGTTTTTGAATGGCAAGTGTGATTACAGTGGAAATGAGTTCAATTATTTACCGTTTGGGGCTGGCCGAAGAGTTTGTGCAGGGACTGAAATGGCTGAAAGAATGTTCTTGTTTTCACTTGCTTCAATTTTACACTCTTTTGACTGGAAACTGCCTCAAGGGGAGAAATTAGACCTGTCCGAGAAATTTGGGATTGTGTTGAAGAAGAAGATACCTCTTGTTGCAATCCCAACGCCAAGGTTATCCGATCCATCACTCTATGAGTAATTTAAGTTAACATGGAAGAAATTAATCTTGTGAAACCGAAGAGAGTTGTGTTACATTCTATATTTCAAGTGCCAATTCAATATAGTGATCTATGCATTTTGTTGCAGTATGTATTATGTATCTTCTAGTTGCTAGCTGAGGACTCAGAAGTTCAATCTTATACTCATTATATTGTGACTCCTTTGTTGAAATCCTTTTCGATCACATATATAATAATATGTCTTTGGAGTATGAATTTTCTTATGAATTGTTACCAATTTATACTGGAGATTTGAATTGCTGCAATACAATTTAAAGCAACACAAACTTTCATCATATATTGACGATTGATTATTGTTATTTCATTTATATGACACCATGGTAATTGTTTAAAAGCTAGAATATGATATCCTTCTTTTTGGGATGTATTGTAAGAGAGTTTATAATATTTCGGGAACCGTATCTCGAATTTTTTAGTTGTTGGATCATTGATCATATGAATCTCACCATCACATCCAACGACTGAGAAGAATACCGTACTTAGAGATCACTCAACATCACCTTTAAGATGTTGAGATATTAAGTAATAATTTGGTGTACTGAGCTCTCAAAGTCCTCTTTGTTCGTTAACATATTTGAAAAGATGTAATGGGATTGATTGTCTGCTTAATTTCGTTTTCATGGCACTGTCAGAAAGCGCCTAGTGGTTTACACAAATTACAATTATGCAATGTTATGGAGCCCTTTAACTTTCCATCACCAATGAGTACTTTGAATACGGCCATTGTTTAAAGCAAAAGATGAATAATATACATATTGTCCTCATAGGCACGATATAGTTGATGATGTCTTCACTAGCTAATGAGACAAATTGTTGGGTCATCATCATGATCATGAAGTTGCAAAGTCCACTTACTCATCAAAAAAGCATATTTCCCCCAATCGGACTGCTTCTTGCAAGTAAGATATCCATGGAAGCAAGCAATTCAACTACCAATAGGAGACAGACACACAGAGAGTGAGTTATACCACAAATCCCACATGCTTAAAAAAAACAGTGATCTGTGCCTTTTTGTTCACAAAGTCAGATTCAACTTGCTTTTCGTTTTTACCTAAAAAAAAAAAAAAAAAAAAAAAAAAAAAAAAAAAAACTGGCTTTTCGTAAAATATCAGGACTTTTTGGGTAAAGTTTATTGGCACATTCTTGCCACAATTCCACAAATCTGGTGGGACATTTTTTTATTCTTTTCCTGAAATATCATCTCCTATTTGCAATTTTTGATTCTTCAGGTTTTCTACAGCTTCTTCTCAGATATCTGCTCCCAAGTGGATGTGACTTTTAACTAACCACATTCACATATTTAGAAAAAAACTTATTCGTTGAACTTTGTGAAACTAATACTTTGCATTGCTTTTTTTAGGTTCTAGTCTGGAAAAATAATAATAATAATAATAATGGGCACTTGACTTTAGCAATCACTTATTATTATTATTTTAATAATTAAAGCTTGATATAAAACCAAAACTCTAGTGTTACAGAGTCAAGGAGGCATACCCCTGGAAAGAAAGAAAACAGAGCAACCCAAACCAAACAAGCTCCTCGAATTAAAAGCAAAGAAAACCAAATGACTTGAGAACGACTACAAGCAATGGCATCAGTAACATCCTTTACCGAACAAAACCAGCAACTAATGATCACAGCATAACTCTACCAAATGCATACAATTGCAGAGGAAAGTAATAACAATGGAAACTGCTTCTTTGGCACAATTGGGACGAGACAGTCACAGAAGACATGACTGTATGAACTTTTTTTTTTTTCAGATCACCTGGAAAGTTGGTAATTAGTAGAGTAACTAATGCACAATAAAATCAACAGAGTACTCTTTACAAGAAATACATAGGATTAACTAAAATGTACATTACATCCTCTTTAACTTTAACATAATCAACAGTTTCATGACATTCTATCACACCACATTGTCATCATGTCTCCAGCCTACACAACTCAGCCTCTTCATCAAAGATTCCAATTATTTTGTTCTTTTAGATGATAATCGCCCATTATTTATGAAACTGAGATTAGATACAATGGCCCCAATTCACCAATTCTGTTGTGTTCATTCATGCATGCATATCATACAGCGAAAACCTGGAGTTGTTACATCAAGCCGAAGCAGCAGCCTTGCAAATTGGTAGGTCCTTCTCCGCGTTAGGTGGGCTCCGGAGAATGGGATTGCTCTCGAAGAAATTCACAGGTTTTAAATCGAAGCTCGATGAGACGGTTGGCATAATGGGGAAATCCTCCTGACATGGTATGTGATGGAAGCCTAGTGTGTACCACAGCACAATGTCCTCATTCTCAATTGCCCTGTCCCTGCAAAATCAATCCCATTCTTGTTACTATTAGTCCATTTCCCATTTCAACATTCAACTGAAAAAGTGGTAGATACAATTCACCATGTACGAGATACTAATGTAAGGAATGAGAATTCCGCAAACTCTCACCTCTCGGACCACACTGCAAGAGTGTCATCACCGTGGCTCTGGTACACGAATAAGCCACCGGCCCATTGCTCGCTCTGGTTATATGGGGTGACCCATATTTGGTTGTTAGTGAACGCGCCACGCTTTTGGGGTGGGTCATCAAGATCAAGCAGGCTAGCAGCTGTGCCACCAGGAACCACCTTGTAACCAACCGGGTTCCCAACCCTTGTCTTTTTAGACGGGTTGATCACATGGAACTCGGATGGGTCGTAGAGTTTGAGCTTAATTTGTGCATCCTTCTCTGTCTTGGCCACATTCCTAACAGCTTTCAAGTAACTCCTCCTAGGTGACTCTCCGGGGGATGTCTGTTGCGTCTGGAGATTCACCTTCACAAAGGAGTTATCAGAGCCATCGACATCCATGTCTAGATAGAATGTGACGTAGTGATCGTGGATGACGCCGATCACATTTTCCGACAAGAGGGTGCCATAGAGGTCCTCTTGTTGGTTCACCTGGTTCATGTTCACATAGGGTGTGCCTTTCACCATCAGGATACCACTAAGTCCAACCTGTGACATAGTCCCAAGAAATTTAGCATTAATACTACACTACATGATTAATAATACATAACCTTTCACCATCAACGCACCACTAAGTCCATCTTTCACCGTCACGTATGCACTACCAAGATATAGAATTAAATCTAAATTATTTACCATGAATATTCAAAATTGTAATAGGATCATCCACCATTAAATCAGTCAAGATATCATCCAAGTCTATTAAATATCTTAAGATTGTTCATTGAAGATTTCCATTTGAATTTACAACCTCTTCAATTAAAACAACTGGCAGTCACTTAATTTAGAAAGTTGTGTAACGAGAGGTGAATTGCAATGTAACAAAATTTCAAGTAAATTTAGTTTTTCATGCACTAAACAAACAAACCAGAATCAAATTATAATGCGTGTCATGACCCATGAAACAAAAATTCAGGTTACATAAATTTTATCCCCTTCGCATCAACAAGGAGACATTCACCCTTATAAATATCAAGAAGAGGCAAGGTGGGGCATCACATCTAATAATTTGTTTAGATAAACTAGCCAAGTCCAAATAGTTTGGAAATGACTCATATTCTGTATAAATAATACAAGTAGGTTTCTTAGATATATGTATTTTTTTTTTTTTCCCTTTTTTCTTTAGATTTGTTTAACTTAAATGAGTTTGAGTCCTAAGAATCATGAAACATTTTTAGAATTAATTCAATAAACAAATTGAGTCCGAACAATAGTGATTCATCACTAACCTTAACTTTGATTAGCCCATCTGTTTGGAACTCCCAATCCACAATATAATCATAATTTGCAACTGATGCTGCCATTCTCACCACTAACGTCACCTTTGGTCTCACCTCTCGAATCTGCCAAAAAAAAAAAAAAATCAGTAATATGATAACAAGAACGTCAACTATTAGATAAACGTATTTAAAACCACAAAACCTATAATCCAACGGGTTCTAAAACCCAGACCCGACAGAATCCCCATTTCTTTACCTCTATGCCCGTAATTGGACTCTCCGAATGCCTCCACCCGATATCACCCGCATACCTCTCGAACACACAAATCATGTTGGATCGGACGTATGGTGTTCCATCAGCCGCTACAAATACACCATCCATATAGTACGCGTTCCGGGGACAATCATTAAGCGGGTCAAGTGGCATAGCCTGGAGTCCGAACCCGTATTCACCAGCATCCATGTATGTCTTGAAATACCAAGCATCAGTCGGGTCCATGTACGGCACAAAAAGCTCCGAAGTAAACCCTTTGTACATCACATTCCTCAGCTTCCCGGTTTCCGGATCCTGCACCGTGGCCCGGGATATAACCACACCGGCTCTTGGGTCGGCTTTCAAATGAAACTCCCAGTTTGCCCATTTGATCAGGTGCTCGTCCTCTACCGTAAAGCTCGGACCTTTGGGTTGCTCAATGGATATCGGGTTCAGTAGGATCCGGTATTGGTGGGTATTTTGTGCGGAGAAGCGATAGTCAGTATTGGCGGCCTCGGGTATAGGGATGTTCTTCCCTTGATCAGATATCTCCACCACTTGTTTTGTGTCCATGTCAACCAGAACTGTGAGCCCTTCGATGGGTCTCATGTAGAAGTTCACAGTGTCCTTCATGGTGTAGCACTGTACCTTGATTAACCTCCTCTGTTCCTTTGTCTTGCCGAACCATCCGCTGGAAATGGGTAAGCACGCAAGGTCCGACAAATCAATCCCTCGCTCGATGATTGTGCGGTTGAACTCGGAGGTCGCTAAAGGGGCCCATATCACGGAATTCATGTCCTCCATGGTCATCATCGGGTACCCGGAGCTTGAACGGGTATGGTGAACGGTGACTTCACGCGTGTTGATGTTCACGGTGAGCTCGTGTGAAGCACCGTTGACACGTGCGACGACAGAGGCTTTTCTGGGTGGAAGAGGGTCGCCCTTTTGCCACGTGAGGACTACTTGTTTGTCTGGCTCTTGGAGGACGAGGGAGTGGAGCGCGTGGGAGGTGGTGGAGTTGAAGAGCGCGTGGGATTGGAGGATGGTACGGACTTTGTTGATTTCTTGTATGGTGAGGGGGTCTAGTGGGTGGTGGGGGACAGCGGTGGAGTGGCGGCGGCGCGTGGGGTTAGGGGGGTTGTTGATGAGTTGTGGGTTTTTGGATTGGATGCGGTTCTTGGAGGTGCACCATGGGGAGTAGGTGGTGCAGTCAAGTAGCTCCGCCGTGTCGGACGGTGCGTAGGGGAAGTTGAGCAGGGTGAAGAGGAGGAGAAGGGTGACGCCGAATATAAGAAAAAAGAAGCGGAGGAGGCTTTTTCCTTCCATCTCTCTCTAATCAGTGAGTTTGTGTGGGTGCAGACTAGTGTTGAAAGGTTTAAACTTTATAAACACAGATACAGATTAGTAAGTTGGACTTTAGAAGATTCAGATGAAAGCTGTGGTGGAATTTTCAATATCGTGGGATACATTGACAGCTTACGAGTATTTGTCTTTTATGGTGGCAAATTTTTTTTTTTTAATTTACAGTAAATGCCATGTATAGGAGAAGCAAACACTTTTAAACAAATATCTTTAACCAAAAAATAATAATAATAAAAAAGAAAAGAAAAGAAAAAGAAACACTTCTGGTGCATAGGAGCAGCAAGCAAAACCAATATGTTCAGAAACCTTTATTTCGTTTTCTTTTTCTTTTTTCGTCATTAATTTACATAGGTATCTCTATTATTATTTCCTCTTTACGAATGTCTAATTACTGATTATATTATAGTTACATATAAATTCAATTCAAATAAAAATTATAACGTGACATATTCATAAGGCTGATGCTGATGACAAGTATATATGCATGACCACAAGAGTATACCATATGGGTGAGTGATGCTTGTGTGTCAGGTTTCATATCAAGTTGAATTTAGCCCTAAAGCCTTTTGTTTAAACTTAATCATATACTGTAATAATAATATAAAAAATCAAATTTAGATTAGAATATAAGTTTAACACAAGTGTGGATATCTACGAGTAAGAGAGAAGAATATTCCAATATGATACATACGCTTGTGGGTGGGTGGGTGGGTGGGTGGGTGGACAATATTGCAGGCTTATATTTGGAATCTTGGGTTGGGTCCGTGTCAAGATTCGAAGTGCTCGAAGTATCAGGATCCACTTGTTAATATTACGTGTTTGCCCTCTCTGTATATATATACATATATATATATATATATATATATCTTCAAATAAAGCACATGCAGCCGAAAAGGTCGTGGTCCAACGCTCTTACAAAAAGATGCAAAACAATGAAAAGACATGATTTAAATCGCCTTTTCTAAAAGCAATTAATTAGTAATGTGCAATGAACAAATGAAATTCCGTTTAATAAAATGAGGTCACTTCACTTATGATTATTATTAGAGTTTCATTTTTTCCTGGCAAATATGAGATCCCTCATTTCCATTAATTATAAGAAAAATCAGTACAATACTTGTGACTCTCCAAATCTACTTGCAATAATTCACCCCAAATTTGGATTCTAAAACTCCTTAGGTTACAATGGAAGACAAGTAATTCATTAATAGATTAAGAAGAGTTGGGTAAAAATTTGGAGTTGAATTTTTTTCTTTTTTATTGTTAGGCGGAAAAATAAAATGGTGTATGTTAGTGTATTTTTTTTTTTTTGTTTTTTTTGAGTAAAGTGCATTAACATTATTGAGGTTTGTCAAAAGGACACTCAGGTAAAACTTACTTCATTTTTTGACAATGACACCTCCTTTCTGAAATTTCCATCCAAACAAGGCCTTAAATCATATGAAAAGACAAAATTACCCCTTAATATTAAATTGTGATATATTAAAAAATATCATAACTTGCAAAATGACGCAATAGCCCTCATTCATTTTATCTCTTCTTCCTCGTTCATATGCCTCTCTCTATCTGCTAACATACATATATAAATATACATGTGCATATATATATAATACTACACATTACAACACCACCACCAACATCGGCGGGGCAGGCGCAGGGGTCTCCTCTACAGCTAACAAAGGGTTTAATAGCCTCCCCATGGCAGTTTTTCGCTACATGGAAAGCTGAGAGCTACTGTTTTTCTTAATGTTTGGTGTGGCCCAGTAGAAGTTGCGGTTCGCTAATTTGGAAATTTTGAGCTAAACAGTAGGATGTTGATATCGGCACGGGATAAAGGCAAAGTTAATAATGTGTAGGATGCTGATATTCAAGACAAAGCCAATAGCTTCTCTGTGATTGGAAATTCTGCAGTGCAGCGAATTGCACAAGTTGCTTGAACAGCCTTGAACCCTATCAGCCTTTGGCATTGCTTTTGTAGTATACTGCTATACTGGTTTAGACCAGTTGCCGGCAAAATCTGACCTGAATTTCTCAATATATTGTTGATGTTTATGTTGGGATTTATATGCCCTGGCATAGCAAATTCCTATCTGGATTATAGTGATATATGTTCTTGACATATCTGAAATATTTATGATTTATATAATTGGTGAATTCAATGTATTATGTTTCGATTCACTATGAAATTGATAGTATCCCTGTAATTACAAGAAATATTTATATATATGTATGTGATGGCAATCAATGCATGATATATAAATAATAATTATAAATTGTTCATAGTCGGTAATTATGGATGGACTCATAATTAATTAAGACTTGAACTAGATCCGCGTTAGGTTGAGATATATTGCGAGAGCCGTCGTATGCAATTACTCCCTATCACCGTCATGGCATTTAACTCTTAAGCATGAGAAAAGTATAGACTCTTTTATTAATTAATAATTACTTTAATTTGTTCGGCGGATTCTTCGGGATCCTTAGACCGACACTTTGGGTAGTTATGTAATTAATAGTTAGAGGGTTATATTTTCAATATTTGTATTATTGCTACTTGTATTTATTTTGTATTGATTATGATTGATCACAAAGTAAATTCGAAGGCCTTCGTGTGTTTTTAGACAAAATAATTTATTATATATTTATTTATTTAAATTATTATTTTTGTCAAACAAATGTTTTATTGTGATCGAGGCAGAAATAATCAAAGGTACCAAAATAAATATATTAATTAAGTAGTCGAATTGATGGCTTTATTTATCCGATAACTAATTATGCATAGAGGGGTCAAAGTGCAATATTGACTTAGAGGTTATTTATTATTTAATTGGAGTTCAATTAATTTCTTTTAGTGGAGTAGAAATTAATTTATGAATTAATTGAATGGGTCCATGGACCGGGCCAATTATTAATTCATTGTAGCCAATAAAATAATAGGCCCAATAGATTCTCACTTATAGCCCAACTTGATATTGGAATCATATTAGATTTGAGACATATGAATTAGAGATTGAAAAGGATTTGTTGTTTCCTTTTCTTTATTTTTATGTTGCCTATAAATATACATGGTCTATGTATATTTTAGGGTTGATTTTTATGAGAAGAAAAAATGAATAAATTTTTTCTCTCTAGAAAATTAGGGTTAGTGTTCTCATCTAATGGAGGCTTCCACAAGCCTAGTTTTCCAAGGTCATTCATGGAGGCATATAAGTGATTCCTAAAGGCAAAACAATTACCAAGAAGATGGAGATCCAAGGAGAATGTATCTTACTGAGGGATCTACAATAAGTGAGAACATTCACTTTAGAGGAGAGATCTAAGGTTTACTCAAACCTTGATGTAAGTATTCAATCTGTTAATTGAATGATACATCATATTTTATTTTTGCATAAAACTTGTCTCTATATGATGAATCAAAATCTATGTATTAAAATCCCTCGAAAAGTTTTTAAAACTTGCACGTTTCCCAACAGTGGTATCAGAGCATGGTTTGATTCATTACTAGAGATCATGTTTTTATCAAAATTCATCATTCATGGATCCAATTTTGATATGCATATATATTTATTTATTAATGTATGTTGATGTATGAATTAATATATTGATATATAATGATGTATGTATAATTGTGAATGGATGATGATGTGTGTTTGGGCCATGGATGAAGCTTATAGGATAATTGAATGTAATTTTATCTTTCGATGAATGTAATTAAGGCTTTGATTTAGCCATTTGAAAGTTCAATGATGTATTTTTATTTTTTCCATTGTATTTCAAATTGTAAATTTATTTAAAGCCATGTAATATTCATCAAAGGATGCTATAAAACTTCTTGAAGGTCCAAGAGGGTTAAATTAGGCTTCAAGAATTTTCTGGAATTTTTTAGAAATTTTTTAGAATTTTTCTGGAATTTTTTAAGGCCTAATTTAATTTCTGGAAATTTTTATTGATTTTCTGGAAAAATTGGCGATTTTCCGGCGACCGTAGTCTCACCGGCGGCGAAAAGAGGCATCAGAAGAGGCTGGGATCAAGTGTATCTCACCAAGGGTGAGCCTGGCGCGTGAAGAGCACGCGCTAGGAGATGGAGGCCTTGAGGAGATGCTGGCGCGTGAGATGCACGCGCCAGCACTAACATATGTCCTCCACGCGCGTGAAGGCGCGTGGAGGTACTTCCATTGGTATGCCACGCGCCACAACGCACCCTAGGCGCGTGCCAGCGCGTGGGGGCACATGGAAGCGCGTGCCTTGACCTGCAAGCTTCCCTAGGCGCATGGGAGTGCGTATAAGGTCCTTCGGGCTTATTCCAAGTGCTGTTTTGCCTCCGTAAGTGCGTACCAGCTCCCTACAGGTGTTTATAAGCTGTTAGAGGACGCCTGTACAATACTTAGAGTAATTAAATGTTAAAAGCTGATTCCATTAGCCGTTATTATTTGTTTTATCTTTCATTTATTAATGTATGTGATGCATGTAATAGATAATTGTTGATTTATTATTATTCATGCATTAGATCCATGATATTTAATTAAATGACTTGATTTATATTAATTAAATTATGAAAATTAAGTGGATCTGATTACTAATTAATTTGAGGGCACTTATTGAGAAACGAAAAATTATTTTTGTAAATTATTTTTAAAGTGTGCTTCAAATTAAATATTAGTGAATCATTTAAAGTCCAAATATTTTCTAAATTTAATTGGATTAAAATCAAGACGTTTAGCATGCATTATATCATGTATTTGAATAAAATGAAACCCTAATTATGAATGATTAAAAAATTGAGTGGGAGCAGGTATTTTTATACATTGCCTTATGGCCTTCGTTATTAACACCATTGTAATTAGATCTTCAAAAATAAGGCCCCACGCATGATTTGAAGAGTCTTAATATTACAAGAATGGTTGTCTCATGAAAATAAAAATATTAAATGTTCATTGTAATTAGATCTTTAAAAATAAGGCCCTACGCATGATTTAAAGAGTTTAGATTATAATGACAAGATATTTAATATTTTATTTTTCTTTAGAGCTTTAATAACGTTATACACTCAATCTAAAATCAATAGTGTTAGCTCCCCTACGGAGTGGT